CTTCCGAGCGGTCACACCCTGTGCGAGCGAAACAGAGGTGAGGGGCGCATTCGCTTTTACATCTCTCTGCATGATCATGATCAAAATATCACGTGCACCCTATTTTCAACCATAAAGGGTTACTACGTTTAACTTTTACGCGCTTCTTAAAACGACGATATATGTTTCTCGCTACCACCGCTAGGGGAATCTTTTCGGCTTCTAGTTAACCAAGAGTAGTGATGAAACGAATCTTTATCCGAATGGAGATTCGGAAAGATTCAGAAGAGTAGCCGAATCTCGAGCGATTCGGAAACGTTCGGAAAGATTCGGAGCGTTGCCATGGTTGCAAGATCACGTTGATGAGTGTTTCAACTTTTCGTGATATTAAATTTACTAAATTGTACAAAGTGCACAAAATAATGTAGCAATATAATATCATAGTAATAAATAAAATTTTCCGCTTTGTTTATATTATTTTGGATGCTTGTCGAGAACGGTATCGCGAGAAAATTGGTTTCGGTTCCGGATTACGACCAAACTAGGCATGCTTTGGTGCACGTGGAAATACACGCGCATGTTTTCATCGCCTCGAGAGATCGATGCCGTACGTGCTCTTCGGTACAGACACATTTCGTGTCCATAATTACGGTCGTAGTGGCACACACCACACAAGTGAGTATGTCCGATTCGATTATCTCCAACGTGTGTCCACTGAGATATATTGTTATCGGAAGACGGGATACAATCTGAAACTCCTTGCGCCGTACGATTACAGTCTCCTGTACTGCATTTGTACCTTCTGGTTAATGATATCCGATTTAGTTACAGTGTTTGTTTCCGAGCAATGAAGTCGCGTTGGACACGTCTGTGTTGTTTATTTTTCATCAAATGCAAGGCGTAACGTTTACGGCCGTCTTGCCGCCGAGAACGGGGAGACGCCAGCTGTGCCGGTACGCGGTCGAAGTTGTGACGAGCAACATTCATCTCGCTCTCAGGTACAGACATACGCAGCCCCAGAGAAGGAGACGAATCATTTAATTATCAGAATTTATTTATTGTGCGTTGCGCCATGTATAATACACAGCATTTCGCTACATTTTACCGATCACCGCGAAACCGCACTGAAACCGAGACCGTGCATTGGTTAGGCCAACGTCAACCACACTGATCAGCTCAGCTGGACCTGGGCACTTTAGAATGACAGTACAGTACATACAATTCGTTGAAATAAACAAGAGTAAATCTGGCTATATGCGGTAATTGTATGTACCTACAAGAAAACACAACTGACCGCATTCCCGAGGTTTACGACAAGGTTCACGCTGCCGTCGACAACCAGCGACGGATCTTCCGAATCTGCCGAATATTCGTCACGGGACGTTCGGAAATTTACGAATCTGTCCGAATCCAAATCTGCGGTGATTCGTCCCATCACTAGCCAAGAGCACTTTCTGCGTCAATGGGAGGCGTGGGCTCTGCCCACGCCTCCCATTGACCAAACTCTCATTATACACGGCTCTGAGCCAAAGTTCCGACATCTATCAGTTGACAAGCTCCACGGAATAGCTTCGGTCGAAGACGGTTCCTGTCTGCTACCTGCACGCGAGTGGTGCAGTCGAATACGTTCCTAGCGACACCTGCGGCAGCGCCTCCACGGTAAACGGAGAAGGACCGCTTTGAAACGACGCCCGGTTTGCACAAACTTCATGTAGGTCATAATAAATACAATAAAATCACTTTTCTAGAACTGGGCATTGATTGAAAACTTTAACCCTATTACTCGGCACCTTTAAATCAATTAATCGATCGCGTTAATGCCTGGCATAAGAGCGTCAAAGAGGCGAGAATAAAATTTTCCTCGTGTTTTTTCGTGATAAAGGCCGGAATGCGCATTTTCAGCTGGGGATTAGCATGTGCAGTTTAGTACAGCGAAATATATACTCACAAATTTTAATTCCTCCGGCAAACTCATAGAAGGAGTTTTCTGCTGTTCTTTGACATGACTGTGAGTGATCGAGTTTCTTGCTTCTTCGCGGTTCTCTTTGCTGTATATCGGCTTGAGAGACGTCGAAGCAGGCGAGACATCCTTTCCTAACGTCCGACATTACTTCAGAGCCGAGGAAGCCCTCCACTGCAGTTCGGCGTTTCTCACGTCGAATGTGGAACGATAGAAAGAGGCACCCAGGCGTTTCCGCCAGCCAGTCAACACCATGGCCCGCCGCACCTGGGCGGCTCGACGGGCGGCTGGCCCATTCTGAAAGTCGGGTGCTTTGAGAGGATTGACAGCGTCGGTAGACCGACTGCAACGACGGATTATGAAAAGTCAATTTCAAATCATCACCTTGAGCGCCTCCGAGTTGCGGCCGTCGACGCCACAGGAGCGAGGGAAGAAGCACCAAACACACAACTGATGTGCCACTGATCTGGGTGCGCAGGCGTATTAGTGAAGCCCGAAGCTGCGGGACTTTGTCCCTTTTGGGGAATCCATGGCTGCCGGCAACATGCTATCCTCGAGGGCGCCTTCTCTACGCTGGCCTAGCTAGACGACCCCCTCCTGTGTGTTTGTGAGTCTCCTGCCCACAAACAGGATAGTGTCTGCGTCCAAAAAATCCGAAAACGCGGCAATAAAATTAAGAAAAAATATATACATTGTTTTTTGTTGTTTTATGGTTTACAGGTTTTCGGTTCAAGGGATTAACAAGTTAATGAATGGAACCACTATTAAAGCAGTATTTTATGAAATCGGAAGGTTAATCTATCAATCACCCAGCCCTAGTTTTCACCGCAGGCAATGCGCGTCCAATGTTCTACCTGTTCCGCCGCTTCTTTCCATATTGCGGCTTTATAGCGTAGCGAGCGACAGAGAGTTGACGCGGCACGAAAAATTGCCGCAGGCGTTCTAAGAGGCTTGTCAACTGAACGTAACCAGTAACGTTACCACGAACAAAGCCCATCTATAAGGCGTCCCGTGAACACCTCTCAAGGGTCATTAGATAAGAACTCACCCGAGCAGGCCATATTTATGTAGCTTTCACGTTTTTTTTCCTCGTTTTTAAGTTTGAAATTACAAGATAAAGTAAACACTTTGCATACCGGGTGTTTCTGCAAATGCTTTCAAAGATCCCTAAAACTATAGGTGTGGTGGCAGTTTCGGATGCTGCCACCACAGCTCTACTCCATCGACGCATAAGGTCGGCATGTTATCTTTGGAGAGCCAAATCTTTCCTCCCGGATGTCGCTGGTTTCGCGCGAACGGAGTTATCGCTGCGCTTCCGTTTTACGTTGTCGCGTACGTTGCGCCACCACCACGGCCGCTCGATCCCCTTCTCTCCCGCTGCGCGTCACTGGAAGCAGTACCTTCTAGATAAGAAAACCTACTTGCTGAATTCGCCTGCGTGACTCAAAGAGACGACCGTTGGACGCAGATTGGACAGGACCGCGGCGTCATCCTTCGGCTGGCACTCTGGTTCTCGTTGATTGGACACGATTTTCGGCCGAACGCTGACGTAGCACTCGTGTTCAACCCTGCCCTGCGGTGGCCTCTTTGAGTGACGCGAACCACGCCGTGGCCTCACGAAATTAGTCCAGTCCAAACCAAACCACGGCCGTCCAAACGAAAGACGGCTGCATGCACCAAAACAATAAATGCTAACGAAAAACCTTGGGGAACGCTTAAGCTTCGCCTTGAAGAATGGAGTGCGGTAGCGTTAGCAGGCCGCGTTCGCAAAGCCTTCTCATTCGAACCCGCGCTCGAAAACCAAGCCGTGCAAACATGTGTGCGTGGTCTAGTCGGTAGCGTCACGTGTCACGTGACGCGTGACGTCACACGTGGCTGCAACGTCACGACCCTATCGACCGGCTAGATTTATAAGAAAGCTTTCCGTTAAATTTGGCGGAAACGTTTTTAGTTATATTTGGCAGGTAAAAATTCCGCTAAACTTGGGGGAAAATTTTCCGCTACATTTAGCGGAAAATTTTCTCGCGAAATTTAGCGGGTCGACAGGAACAGCCACGTGTGACGTCACACGTGGCTGCGCGCGTTGTATTGTGGGATTTTTCGGTCCCACCGACGGCGGATTTTCTGCGACATGAGCTCCTAAACGCTATCGCGTTGTAAACTACGTTCGGGAACAAACTATCAGCCACAGTGGGTATCATATAATGCAGAAAGAGACTAGTTGGCAAAGTATTGACCTAAAATGAACCAACTTTTTATGTAGTGAAAATAAACATACTTTCGCGTTAATGCCGACGGTGAAGCTAGAGGAACTCAAAGAGTTCCTTAATTAATAAAATTAAGAACAAGGTGCTTACACAAGCGGCGGGCCGCTCTCCTGACTCTTTGCAGGAACATCCGTAATTCAAGAGCTCATTGGGCGAGGTGCGAGCTTCGCGTAAAACCTGAATCCAAGTAACATTTCGGGACAAGCGGGGGGGGGGGGGGGGGGGGGGGGGGAGGGGGCGATTGCTTTCCACCCCCCCCCCCCCCCCCCCTTGTCCCAAGACATATTGTGGTAATGGCTGCGCGCGAGCACGACAGTTGGCAAATTTCCCGAAGTGCCGGGTTTTAAGATAAATTGCGGGGGAAAAAATTTCCGAGTTTGTGGGACATGCTAAATATTCATGACCATTGAATTAATTATTCGAGGCCTCAATTATTTTTAGTTCTTTTAAAATCACGAAATTCGCGGAAATTAGGTCCTCGCGAAAATGAACGCTTTTCATGATTTCCGGCTTGAAAATACATGGCTAGAAAACGAGCGCTTTTTGGCCGCAAGTGGCGCGTCAGTGACATGCCATTGACTCATTGAGTTGCAGTGACCTCGATAGTGGGGTCCCAAAAGTCACCTTTTTCCCGCTGTGGATTACCTTTCGCTCCGAGATCAGCACAAACAAGCGCTCTACTCTCTCTATTCAACATGCGCGAAGTGAGATAGGGAAACAGAACTATTTACTGTCCAAGCCATATTTCAGAATAAGGTATAATGGAGCCGTTTTGTAGGAAAGTGAGTCAGTCGACTAAAGCTAAAAACTGCTGAACTTAAAAGGAAGTTAGGATCGCACGCCGCTGGGTTTCACCTGGAAAGTCTTTCAGCTGCTGTCGAACAAGAAGGGCACCGAGACCTGCGGAGCTGGTATCGGTATGCACTGTTGTTTCAGCGCTGTCATCGTTGTGGAGAAGACGCGGGGGAGACTTTATGCAGGTACTGTTGAAGCTCCCTGAATGCATCTATTTGCTTTTGTTCCCAGGAGAACAGAACGTCATCATATATCAAGCGCATGATAGGGGCTCAGCAAGCTGAGAAAATACCTTAACAAAACGCCTATAATAAGCACAGATTCCGAGAAACCTGCGATCGGGCTTCTTGTCGGCTGACTATTTCCCGTTTTACAGTTTTCCCCCAATCAGGATGAATGCCACTTCCACTCACGATCTGTCCGGAAAATTTTAGTTTCTTCTAAGCGGAGCGGCACTTCTCCATCGTAATTGTAAGTCGTGATGACTTAATTGCCTCGAGTGCCGTCTCCAGTATTCGTAAGTGCTCATTGAAATTCGTGGAGAACACGACAACGTCGTCGAGATAAACGAGACAGGTCAGGCATTTCAGGTAGAGTCCATAACCTTGTGAAACATAGACGGCGCTGGCCGGAGGCGTAAGGGCATAAACTCACAGTCCGTCCACGCATGTGAAAGCTGTTTTCTCCTGATCCCTCTCGTCGACTTCGATCTGCCAAAATCTGGTCTTGACGTTCTTCGAGGAGAAATACTTGGCATGACAAAGTCGGTCTAACGTGTCGTGAGGCCCTGGCACACTGACACGCGTCACGCGCTGGCTCATGCACGCAGTGCAACAAAGGATGTCATCACCCTGAGAGAGGCAGATATGCAGGCACTCTAGCTCAGGGATTTACTGATTGAAAGTATGCGTTTATTTTCACTCTGTAAAAGGTGGGTTAGTTTTAAGTAATTTAACTAATCATTATGTTTCCTGCAATCCCCGTCTTCCACCGTGGCTGGCAATTCACTCCCGTAAAGAGTTTTTTTTTTTTTCTCCGCCACCTTGCTATTACGAAATTTTTGAATGTTTTCGCTAAAACACCCGGTATATTGTTCAGTGCGAGGTGGTGGCACCCGCCGTACACGACGGACCGCGTCCGCAGGGCCTGCACCTGGACTGGGACCATCCCGGCGGGCGCTGCGGGGACCCCAACGATACGGCCAACCTGCAGGCCCTCGTCTTGAACCTAAATTTTAACGTGGAGTTGATGCTGAGCGTGCCGCCGTCGCCTGCCCTGGTGTCCCTGTACAACCTGAGTGGCATCATTCACAGGCTTAAGCTGGTCATCGTGAAGACGCACACCATCCGGCACGACAACTTACTGGCCTGCACGGGAGACAGGGCAGACGCACACGCGGCATTTATGGCCATCCGCGCAAGCGTGCCTGAAAGCTACCGCAACAAGCTGGCCTACACCATCCAGGTACACGTTCAGTGTCGTTTGACGATGCGTATACGCTAGGGATAGGCTAGAAGGGGGCGATCGCGCGAGCAAGAGCAATCCCGCAGTTCGAGCCTGAAGAGTGCGAGGCATCATCTGTATACGCGAGAACAAATCGGAGATTCATCAAACACAAATTTGGGGCCGAAGTTTACGGAGCGAGCCGACTCGACCCTCGCGATGTGATGACGACGGACTTTTCTTTCGCCGAAATCCAATCGGCTCGATAGCAGGCTGAAGTTGAGGTAGTTGGTACACAATGCAAAAGCTCCAATCGGCTCGCTCCGCGAACTTTCGGCTCCCTGACGTGTTTCACGAGTCTGGAGAACTAGCTCAAACGACTACTTTACTTCAGGCCCCAGAGGTTTGGTCTTGGATCGTCATTCTTGGTGGTCGTTACGAATTTCTGGTTGGACGCAAGGAGACCAGAAATTTGGTCGGGCTTCCCCTGAGAATTTGGTATATTATAGGTTCGCGTGTTTTGCGGGGGTTGCTAGACTCAGCCTGGGGCGAGTTAAGGGGTGTGTATGGACCGTTCCATTAGGGTCATAGCAGAGAGGGTAATAAAGAAAAAAAAAACGCCCGAATAATGCTAAAAAAAGAAACCTCACGCCGAACGCTGAAGAGGACGTGCCCAAACAATGGTGCACTCGGATAATTGAAGTAGCATCAACTAGAGGGGCGCGCCCTTTTTTGAAAATGGTCTATAGGGGGTATTCACTGGACCCCATATTTGTATTGCTCAGGGCGCATGCTCGGAATGGCCTCACATTAACAGGCTGCTAAGTCCGGCAATCTTGATAGTGTGAAATTCACGTTTCTGAAAAACTGTGGGAGCTCGCCATTAGTACGCGCTCTTCGCGCACACAGCTACGGCCGCCAGTGAATACCCCCTACTGGGCCCAGCAAGATGCGATGACGTTCGCCTGAAGGTTATGTGTGCACCAACTCGCTGTCTACATACAGTCTCGCGCTTGCCCACACCAGATGTTGGCAGTGTGGTATGTGGGCAGATGTGGGCAAACCTGCAGGGCATCGCCCAGGAAAGTTTGAGGCCGGCTTCATCACCTGATGGCCCTCCCTGGCCTGGGCTTCTGTCTCGCAGGTCGGCGTGGACAAGTTTGAGCCCAACAGCGCAGTACCGGCGGTCACCGACCCCACGAGCGGACACCCCGGTCACACCACGTACAGACGGGTGTGCTCCCAGTACCCGGATGTCGAGGCACCCGTGGACGTCGAGTGTCGCCTGGGGACCTTAGTCGAGCACGGCAAAGAGTACCAGGTGGCCTTCGCCGGCCCGCGGGAACTGAAGGCGCGCATGCGCAACACCTACGCCGACAGCATGGGCTCTGTGCCCGTCGTCGTGTACGGCCTCGACCTCGACGACTTCATGGGCAGGTGCCCCGGTGGCGTTATGTCGCCCCTGGTACGCGCCGTCGCCACGGGAGGGCCCTGAGCTGGAAGAGCGCGTGGCGGGCCGCTCCTTGTTTTTGTTCGAGCGGCCGTGGAATTACGAAGAGCCTGAATTGACAAGAGTCAACTGCACGGACGTATAATATTTTTTTAATTTGTTTCGAACTTTTATTATGCTTTATTTGAATGCAAGCTTGATTCTATGAGTCTCTCATTCTTTCATCTGTAAATATTCTATAGTTCGTTGCATGGCTACATTCATGCTTTTCTGCATCTTCTGGATAATGGTTTTCTAGAACTGTACTCCTCATTTTCTGATGAATCGGCAGGCCGCAGAGGAAGAGAGATGTATGGGCCGCGGTGGAACAATGACACAGGGGATGGGTTACTTTTAGGCATTGTAAAAATAAAGGTAACGAGCTTCGTTTCCTGTTGTTTTTTTTTTTTCCCGAAGAGAGCGAGAAGTGTACACTTAAATGTGCGCTCACACGGGGATGCTTTCGGGGACGGATGCGCGTGACGTCAGTGATCGGCGTGACCGACGGGACTCCTTCCCCTACGTCAGCATTCACATGAATGGCGGGGAGCCGAGCGCGATGTGGATGTTAGGTGTGCTAGAAGGGGGAGGTGTAACGATCGAGCTTGCGAAAGTGACTCAGTGAATCAGCATGTGGAGCGGAGAGCCATCGACAAGTATGAAGCCCCTTGATGTTTTAAAAGTGGCACAAGGCGCGTCGATGCAAGAGGCACGTGCAACGTGTAACTCGTTGGGAGGATCCTGGCGGCAGAGCGCAGCACTGCGCTAGATTTCAGACGCCATGTTCTTCCCAGAAGTGGCGCGCGGCACGTGTGTCGAGCATTTCCACAACAGGCTATAGGGTGCCTAGATGTATGGATGTCTCAGGGTAAAGACACCCATTGTTGTCCTGAATGTGCGAGCGCGTGACGCTTTCGCGCCCTCGGTGCGTGACTTGGGCGGTAAAATGGCGTCCACACTTTAGCCAAAGCTACGCGCTCGAGCTGAGTGACATCGGAATGCGCGCACTTCAAAATGCATAAGAAACGATTGGGCAGAAAAATGGCTGAGATGTCTCAAGTCTTACTTAAGCAAAGGAGCGTCTGTGTATGAACTATGATAAGCGGAAAGCAGCGCCACCCGGCACTGTAGGGAATAGAAGGTGAAAGAAGAACTACATCGAGGGGCTTTTTCACAAGCCAAACTTAAGCTTCACTGCAGTCTGTGTTAATTGCATCGAGCTCAATGTTCCGTGACCAATTTCGTTATGACTAACAGGCAGCGACAAAAACAGTGTTGAGTCCTGCAAGCTGCAACACTGGGTGCGTCTCTTCAAGGTCAGAAGGCAAAAAGGAGACGTTGTTTGCTGTTCCGAAAGAACTCTAAAGATTCCGAACATAGGAGCGGGCTATATTTGATGCCGACAAGTGCTTAGAAAAGAGCTCAGCAGTAAGCGAGCTGAATTTCCAGGAAAGATTCATTGTGCGACACTTCACGATTCTGATTAACGATTAAGACATTTTCTTCTGCTTTCCTGTCCACAGTGCGGCGGAGTGCCGTTGTGGCGCTGCTGCGGGCCTATCGATGGTAACGCTGCGCGCTGAACATCCTTGCCATTTTCTCCTGCTTGACAAAGCGAGCGACTCTTACACCTGCCCTTCTGTCAGCAGCTCTAGCGGTTTCACTCTCGACAACAGGGTTCGCTGTTCGCAGACGAGAGTATAGGGAGTATTCACTGGCGGCCATAGCTGTGTGCGCGAATGCTGAGCACGTGCTGATGGCGAGCTTCCACAGTTCTTTTGCAACGTGCATTCCGCACCATCAAGAGTGCCGGTCTTGGCAGCCTATTGATGTGAGCTCGTTTTGAGCATGTGCTCTAAACAGTACCCACACATATAGCGTCCAGTAAATTTTCTCTATAAAAATGAAGCCGTACATGAAACTGCGATGCGCAGTTATGGCAGCAGCGCTATAGCTGTTAGGTGCAGATGACGACAGACGGCTTCATGCTAAAAAAAAAAAACAAAGTGAAATTGGCCTTTTGAAGGGGTGAATGCAACATAAAGAACACGAAATCCAAACCGAGTTGTATGAAGAGCGGATTGAGGACGGCTTTCATGAATATCGAAGATGCCTCGGACGACATGAGCAACAGCGCAAGCCACAACAAGTTCAGTGATCCCAATGATCCAGCCTGAGCAAAAGTTCCCCATCATATCCCCCTGGAATGTCTACGTCAGCGCGGCTCCACGCAAAAGCGTTGTTACCACGTGATGCGCATCCCGGGGAACAAAGGGGGATGGATGTCTCCCCGTTTTCTCGAAACGAGTCAATGTAAAAGTGGTTAATTTTTTTTAAATACTTTTTTCATCCTTTACTTTGGACACTGCGAGTTTTGCCTCAATCATACTATTTTAAACAACTATCATCCAATCTTTTTTTTTTTTTTTTCGAGGGGGGGGGGGGGGGGATGGTATGGCAGAAACATATCAGGGTTTATCGGCGAGGCATCGTCGTGTTCTTGGTTTGGAAACCATCAATAAAATTTTGTGGCTGGTTCTATTTTAGTTTTTTTTTTACGGTTTTTTAATTGGCGACGGGTTAGAATTGCAGTAAACGGCCAGCCTCCACAGTGAGCTCGTTGGCTTTCGGTGGGCTTGGTCTTCGCGTGCGCCGAAAGGTCACCGGAGGCAGAATTTTCATGCTGGCGGCAAAGATATTAGCACATGTTTAACCTGTGACGAGTGATACATACTGCAAACGACTTATTTTTCGCGTGCTGATTATTTCGCGATTTAGGTCAAAGCTAAAGTGTTAGAATAATTCGCGGGTTGTAATTTTTACGACGCCGCTGGGGCTCTCAATATAGATTCCAATGTGTTTACATTATACCAGAATTGTCCGCGGGACTTATTTTTTGCGAATAGTAGGCCATTCGCGAAATTTGCGAAAATTAGATCCTCTCGAATATTAAGTAGATTACAGTGTACGTTTTGAGCTCGCGGTGTCTGTAATTTGCTGTAATACGTGCCGAAAGTTGTCCCATTTAACGGGGACGGGGCCACAATAGGATTGGACAGGTAGCGCCATCTCACGCGGAAATTTAGCAACTGTGAGACAGCCCGTCACTCAGTGGCCGTAAAACTTCAACCTGTGTGTCTATGCTGGGGTGCCAACTAGATTGTGGAGGTAACTCAATCGGCCCCTGATTGACCGCCCTCTTGGACACGTGAGGCAGAAATGACGCAGTTGGCGGTGCCGTCAAAGTGTCGTCACGATTCAGTTTGGCGATGGAGATAACTTTGTAGTCGTCAGGCAGCCGGAGTTGCTGAAGTCAATGAAGATGGCGACGTTCACGCACGAGGACGGGGTCGAGCCAAAGCAAGCTTTCGCGGACAATTGCTACGTTTTCTATATGTTCGGTTCAATGCTCTTCAAGGACATCATCGGAGAGTAATATTTGACACTCGTTGGCTCTGACAGTTGCTTTGGAAGCTTTGGCGACGTCGCGAGGGGACCCCTGTGCTGCAGGGGTCCCCCTTTCAGCTTCTACGTTGCTGGCGGCACATTTTGTTGTGACGAAGACATCACTATGCATCGGTGCGCTGTGAGTCGCGTCATGCTGGATGTTACAAAGGCGATAGTCGATCCCCCGTGTCTCAAGGTGGGTGGGCTTCGCGCAAAGGAAAGATGGAGAGGACAACCAAGACGTTCAGCGATGCGAATTCAGGGGTGTGCTGTGCTCAAGTACAGTCTGAATAGAACAGGGCGGAAGGGATCGGTGGCCGAGTGGGCTAGCGCACATCAGCTCGGAGCACGTGAAGCGAATGCTCGCGCTGCAGAACCCAGGATACTGGGTTCAATAGACCAATCTCACCAGCCAGTTTGACTACGCCACCGCTGCCGCAATGCATCGGGGGAACTTTAGTCTTTCTGCACTTGCGACAACCCCGCTGGTGCTCTGCACGGGTGGAGCACGAGCCCGCGCGTGCGCGGCGTCTGCCTCCTGCGAACTAAAGTTATGGCGGCGACACGCATGCACCGAACGCTTAGTGAGATCTGTCTATCCCATCCCTGCCCGTTTCGATCTGGATGGGCATCGCACCGGCGTGCGGTCGCGTATCACTACTGCGTGGTGCACGTTACAAAAAAACCTGGCCAGCGGTTGTAGTGCACTGACTAAATTTCTCATCTACAGCTGGGAGACTCGTCGCCCGTTGAGGCAGACTGAGTTCTAGGCTGTATTAGCGATGTACGTGGCCAAAAGCGTCGCTGTGGTCAGCTTTCCACGATTGACCAAAGCATGGGCATATGAGCACTGTCAGATTGTCAACTTTGACGGTGTTAGTTTCGGATTGCGATGGCTCCTAGCTTCTACTGTGCTTTTTAAACACACTATGGAACTCGTCGTCGCCCCCGATGGTAAGTAGCCAGACTAACAACTGGTTACGTCACGGCGAGGCAAATCCCAGTCGTGACGTCACGGAGGGAAACCATAAAAGGGCGCCACCGAAACATCTCGGCGCTAAGAAACATACGCACACCCCAATTTATTTTCTGAATAGAACATTTTCTTAATGCGCTTGCACGAAAGCCCTTAGAAGGAAACGGGCGCCTCACCCAACGTGCCAACATCGGGAAATTGTGCAGCTACAGCACGCTGTGTGCTTTTTCACTTTAAACTTTTCAAACTCTGTTTGTATGAACAGATTATCATACATAATTTTGATTGCCTGATCTTTGTACTAAACCGTTATAGTCACTCGGCTGACGCTTTGCAAGCCAAGTAAGACACCTCCACATTCTTTTCTTTTTTTTCATGTATAGAGCTTTTTTATTGCATGCTTTCTGGAATGTTATGAAAACCTATATGCTTTGCTCCTTCTAGAGGCTGCATTAGTATAAAAAGCTTCTATCCAGTTTTGAAGTGCTTTTGGGCAACTGAAAAGGTTATGAAACATTCATGTCGGATAGCGTCTGACCGTTGTGCGCAGGTGACAGCGACCAACCGCTGAACCCATGGTTGCACACCGATTCCTCGTAACCCCACTGGACGACGTGCTGTCCCGAGGCCAAGCTTAACAAAAAGCATTACTTAAGATTCTATTGTAGAGCAGTGAGTAGGTATGCTCAAGAGCAGGTTCCAGAGGCTGCAAAGGTACCGGGTACAGCAACATAGTTTGCCTTTCTACAGAAAGCAGGTTCGTATATCACTATTTTGGTGCCCCCCCCCCCCCCCTCCCCCTCTCCCCCTGATAAACCCCTTCTGAAGAATCCGAGACCGAGGACGGTGTGAGGTTTGACGGCAGGGGACAAGCTGTGCA